AGTGGCCACCTATGTCAGTTCAAGCTGATGACAGTATTGTCATCCAAATATTTGTTTAATGACTGTTTTGATAAATGTTTCTTTTCATCAGAACTGTGCCTTTTAATTTTGACAACTCCCTTCTTCCCCCATGGTAAAAAAAAAAAAAACAACCCTAAGAAGGCTTGGATCTGGGGAGCTGGGGGGTTTTAGGTCTCTTTTGTTTTACTTCTCCAGGGAAATGCAGGGAGAAGGAAAAGAAGACAGACAGAACATGTTTTGATTTTGGAAAACTGGACTATTTTTCTCTTTTTCTTTCTTAAGAGCTGTAGAAAGAGCAATAGAAACATCGCTGGCAGTATGAAACAGTTTCACTTCTGTTAGAAATTGTCATTGGAAACACGTAAAATTTTTTGTTTAGCTCTGATACTTATTGCAATATATCTAATGGCTGACCAGCTTTGTTTCTCATGGTTCAAAGATTACTTCAGTACTTCCCGTAAATACATGTTTTGCCTAATCTTGATATATCTAGGTATTCCTAGAGTGATCTTCAGCATGGATTCTGAACTGAAATGTAAATTTCTGAATAACTTTGTTTAATTTCTATTATTTATTTAAAAGGAAGTATAAAAAAGCAGAGAAGTACTTACTCTTTCTTTTATTTTCTTAAACAGTGAATACGGCAACTACATGTTTCCCTCAGTTTTTACAAAAGCTCTCATGCACATACATGCTTGCCACCTGTTTCATCTCTGTGCATGATGTCCAGACTGGAATTTGGGGGGCTTGGGTCCATTGGTTTATTTTGCCAAAGCCAGGGTTAGCATCCTCCATTGAATGTCTACATCTCTCATGCCTTCCCTGCTTGCTCCTCCAATCTCTCCATTAAATTGCCCTGCTTTGGTAAATTTTTGCCTGCTAAAGCACTTCTCTAATTTATGGCCCACATTTCTTTAAACTGTCATTGCTATCTTCAGTGTGAGACCATTTCCTGGTATCTTTATGATAATTGTCTCCAAAGTTATTGTGTGATATGTTTTTTACTGTATCTGCTATTTCTTACATAATGCCCTGAACTGAAATATTAAGAAGTATTAGCTCTAGCATTTTTTAGCCACCTTTCTGTCTATATCAGATCATACTCATCATAACATTTTTAATTTAATTTTTTATCTGGATTTATCCAAGATGTTACTGAAAATTTCCCTTAGAAAAAAATTTATTGAGGATCTATATTCTATAAGAAGCCTGCATAACATTCACCAGTAATATTTTTTGCTTTTAGCCCTTTGCTTATCATAGATATGTTTGAATGCAACATAACGTGAAGACGTGAGTGGCCCATAATTTCCAGAAACAATTAGGTAGGGTTCTGTTTCTTACTGAAGCCTCTTTTCTTTTCCTCCAAAGATTGCAGAGCTTCATAGTTAGCAATCCTTTCTGTTCTTCTTATTTTCGTTTTATATATTTTATTTCATTCATGAAATTTCTTCCGAAGGACGTAAATTACCACTAATATAGCAAAAAATCCCAACTGATTGTGTGCAGATGAAAGACCTTGTTACATACCTACACCCTGATTTAGACTAATGGTGGACTAATTTTAGGAGTCTCTATTTTATTCAGCATTGTAACATTCTGCCTGACCCTTTCTCTAATGCCTTAGCGTTTCGCCAGCACTGAATGACTTCTGAGTGTTAAGGAGATATATCACCATTTCCTTTGATGGTTATTTAAAAGAGATTCTGCTTTTATTGCCTATTCCCATCACAGGAATCATAGCACTCCTTACCTCTTTCTATGTCTATTCCATTTTCATTTAACTCAAGATGCTTCTTATTTCCTATTTTTCAGCTAGCTGTTAAGGTATTCGTTAGCACTAGTGCCTATCTTGGTTCACCTTCTGATTTCATGAGAGAAGAAAAAATACATCTTCTGCCACAAAGACCTTCCCTGAAAAGAAGGTTGTGTATTTCTGGATTGCCTACAACCTTCTTGCATGCCTCCATTTACTGGTCTACAACAGGGGAATAATAATGCTCACCCAGGACTTAATTACATATTGTTGGAAACATATTCAAGACATTTGGAGAAAAACTGACCTAGGACTCTTCTTCCTCTTTTTTTTTTTTTGCCAGGTACCTAAGTGCCCTCTGTTAGCTAATTTCTTGCTGGCCCTAAAACAGTTTTCTCTTGTATTCCTTCTCCTGAAGTAAGGGACAAGTGTCTGTTTAGCCTTCGTAGACACATCTTTGTTCTTTCGATACAATGATACTTCATTGTACAGCGTCCTCTCTCAGGACTTCCAAGACTTCTGCTTTTGCCAAAAGTAGGGTAATTAAATTGCCTCATTAAAACGAGGCCCTTTGACTCTAAAGAAAAAAATTTATTGAGGATCTATATTCTATAAGAAGCCTGCATAACATTCACCAGTAATATTTTTTGCTTTTAGCCCTTTGCTTATCATAGATATGTTTGAATGCAACATAACGTGAAGACGTGAGTGGCCCATAATTTCCAGAAACAATTAGGTAGGGTTCTGTTTCTTACTGAAGCCTCTTTTCTTTTTCTCCAAAGATTGCAGAGCTTCATAGTTAGCAATCCTTTCTGTTCTTCTTATTTTCGTTTTATATATTTTATTTCATTCATGAAATTTCTTCCGAAGGACGTAAATTACCACTAATATAGCAAAAAATCCCAACTGATTGTGTGCAGATGAAAGACCTTGTTACATACCTACACCCTGATTTAGACTAATGGTGGACTAATTTTAGGAGTCTCTATTTTATTCAGCATTGTAACATTCTGCCTGACCCTTTCTCTAATGCCTTAGCGTTTCGCCAGCACTGAATGACTTCTGAGTGTTAAGGAGATATATCACCATTTCCTTTGATGGTTATTTAAAAGAGATTCTGCTTTTATTGCCTATTCCCATCACAGGAATCATAGCACTCCTTACCTCTTTCTATGTCTATTCCATTTTCATTTAACTCAAGATGCTTCTTATTTCCTATTTTTCAGCTAGCTGTTAAGGTATTCGTTAGCACTAGTGCCTATCTTGGTTCACCTTCTGATTTCATGAGAGAAGAAAAAATACATCTTCTGCCACAAAGACCTTCCCTGAAAAGAAGGTTGTGTATTTCTGGATTGCCTACAACCTTCTTGCATGCCTCCATTTACTGGTCTACAACAGGGGAATAATAATGCTCACCCAGGACTTAATTACATATTGTTGGAAACATATTCAAGACATTTGGAGAAAAACTGACCTAGGACTCTTCTTCCTCTTTTTTTTTTTTTGCCAGGTACCTAAGTGCCCTCTGTTAGCTAATTTCTTGCTGGCCCTAAAACAGTTTTCTCTTGTATTCCTTCTCCTGAAGTAAGGGACAAGTGTCTGTTTAGCCTTCGTAGACACATCTTTGTTCTTTCGATACAATGATACTTCATTGTACAGCGTCCTCTCTCAGGACTTCCAAGACTTCTGCTTTTGCCAAAAGTAGGGTAATTAAATTGCCTCATTAAAACGAGGCCCTTTGACTCTAAAGTCCGCCAGCTCTCTCAGGGAAACCTTTCTACCCTCTCTCTGACAGACCATCCCATCAGATCTTTCCCCTTTCACACCACTTAGTTCGTTACCCATCAGTATTTCATGTACTTTACAGGTAGTTTACTCCAAGCCCAACAGCTCATGGGACACACAGCCTGACCAAGAGCATCCTGAAGCAAAGGCACGGTCTGGATAGCAGCAATCCACGCTACCCTTCCCGATGACAGAGGGCTCTGGGGATGTTGCTAAGCACACCTATGAGTGCATTAGAGAAGCAGAAGACAGCAGGCAGAAAGCAAGAGGATTATCCAGCACAAAGAGGCAGCACACGCCATCCCAAGTCAAGTTGCCTGGCTCTTCATGGTACCTCGCTCACCCTTCCTGTGTGCTCCAGGCCTGCTTTCTCTTTTTGTTGTATGCCCGTAGGAAGTGTGGGCTCTGCAAGGCAAAACCCGCTCCTCTTTGCTCTGCAAAGGAACCCGCACCCCTTATGCACCCCTCTGCCTTAAGTCAAGGTGAAGGAGCCAAAAGTCTCACACGTGTCTGCAAATGGTAATATTAGGACATATTTTGTCACTGTTATGTGGGAACACCCCATACTGCGGATACAAAGGTTGGAAATCAGCTACCACCTGACCAGCCCTTCCCGGCACCCCGCTCCCAGCCCCGCTGCCCTCGGCTGCCCCGCACCCCAGAGAGGCAATGGCAGCCCCCCGGGGCGGGGCCGCCTGCACTCACAGCACACAGAGGCAGTAGACTCCCGGGATGCTCTCGCTGTCCCGCAGCAGGTAGCTGCCATCAGTGCCCGCCGCCAACAGCAGCTTCTCCCCAGCCTCACGGGTGATGCCCCCATGGTAGATGGGCAGCGCATCCATGCTGGGGCTGTCTCCCACTGCAGGCAGCTCTCCCTGTGCACGGCGCTGCCTCCAGCTGCTCCTCAGACGTGTGCTCCCCTCAGCGTCTCCGTCTCGGTGGAAGATGTAAACAGGATGTGTTCACACCTCTGAAGCCTCCCCACAGGGCGAGACAGCACTGAGGGAAGAGTGAGGAACGAGCACAGCTTTCTTGGGGTTTTTTTTTTCCTTTGCCCCTTTTTGTTTTCCTTTTTCGCAGGCTGTAACATCCTCATGGCATCACAGCTCGCGCAGAGGTGTCATTTCACAGCCCACCCTTGCCCATGTGGCCCCCCGCTCAGCAGGGACGTGACATGATGAAGTGCACAACGGCCGCGGGGCTGATGGCCGCCCTGGGTCGGGGCAGGGAGGCCAGGACTGTCAGCGGCTGGGCCAGGCGCTTGTCTCCTCTGGCGTTAACCCAAGGGGGGGACAAAGAAAGGCGAAGCAGGACCCCAAAGGCCCTCTGCAAAGCAGGGTTTATTTTTTAACCTCTTATTTTTAAAATCCCCGGGAGTGAGAAACTAGAGGAAGCAAGCTGGCCTCACTGTCCCCGCTTCACCAGGCCACTCGCCTCAGGCCGTGGGCGCCGAGCACGGCCCCTGCTCCATGGCAGCTGGTCCAGAGCCCACAGACACCAGGCCCCGGCTGATTTACCTCATGAGTGGTTATTTTCACAGGCTTTGGTGGTGTTTAATCACTGTTAATGTCAGGGGTGCTCATTATTTCTGCTTGGAGGCAGGCAACAGCCTCGGCACAGGCAAGGAGGCCCCTCACATCCTTGCTGACGCCATCGGTGCCACTGCCGCCTTCGTGTGGTGCGCAAGCGGCAAGCCAAAATCCAGAGACATGGCTGAAAAAGCCATTTCTCTCACCTGCTGTGGTCACAGACATTTCCTCAGTATGCTTGTCACTTGAAAGCTCTTATACGCACGTGCTTGCAAATGCATCTGTTTGCAAACAAGCTGAAAATGTGCTTTTATACCCCCATAGATATTTCCACCCATGGAAAAACTGAGCATGTTTCCTGGTGCTGAGCGGCACCGCACAGCAGTGACAAGGCAGCACTGCCCCTGTAGCCATGGCCACCGGGCCAACCCCTTTGGGCTGCAGCGAGCTCAGGGCTCAATTCATCCCTAGCACGAAGCCACTGTACTCCCCTGATGAGGCACGTTCTCACACTTGGGTGTCTGAGTAATAACTCACTAAACTACAACAATAAGTACGGGTCATGCTTGTGATCGATTTGTTTTAAATTGAGTTTGCTAGCAGGACAGGGCAGAATGAAATCATCTCACCCAGAACACGATGTCCCGGTTGAAGTTAAGGATGGGTGAAAAAATAGCTCTCTAGATACACACATTTCAGGAACAAAAATTAAATTAAAAAACACCAAAAATAAGGGCTGCTTTTTTTAAGTTTCAATCAATCAAAATGTTTTCTCTTGATTGTTTCACCGTGTGTCTTTCATTTCTGACCTTTAATATAGTTTTTCCTTGAAAATATTTTTTTCGAACTAGCTTTAGCTTTTCCTTTTGAGGGATGGGTATTTCTGACCAGCGAGTCACAGGGTAGCTCGGATGCGGGGCACTGCACCCAAGTCACTGACAGCAAAGCCGCAGCTTTCGGAGGCACTGTAAGCCTTTTGCCCCGCAGGGAGACCCCGGTGAGCAGCTGCCTCCCTGCCCGGCACCTGAGGGGCTGAGAAAGCTGCAGAAAACCTCAGCTGAAGAGGGACTGAAAACTTCCACCACCGTGTTTATGGCTTTTCTGTATTGTTACACAGGTGTTCGTTACCCCGTTTACATGAACCTGGGGACTCAGCTATCCTGCTCGTTTTTTTAAACCAGTTGTTAAAGTGTTTGCACAAAAAGGTAGAGCTGCTGCCTGCTGCAAATGTGATTAATGTGGATAGTGACAAGATGCAAGCAAAGCACTGTTCCCTCATAAAGCTGCTGCCTATTTCTTCTCCTTTTCCAAACTACCTGTACTCGGGGATTTCATCTAACTTCCTAATTTCTTAACCTATTCTCAATATTAATAGTTAATTTCAGAAAAAGTATGTGTGTAGTTAGCTGAAAAGGAAAACCAACCAGAATGACCCAATTCTGTAGATCTCATTGCCCCGCTCATCAGATTTCAACTAAAGCATAGGTAGAAAATCATAAAACTTTTGACTAAGAGATGCTCCCTTATTACGGGAGTCACCACATTACCAGGCCAGCCTGCACTTTGATGAAGCAGTATCTATTACTGTAAAAGAGCTGTAAACACCCAATTTTGCTTTTGTTGGGTAAGGAACCCACAAAACTCCAGCTACTGAACCCCGAAGCCCGGACTTCTATACAAATCCCTTTATGGCCACATTGACTAGGGGATACGCAGCTTTTAAGAAGTAATGGAAATGCTGGATTTTGGAACAAGGGACACTAAGCAAGCATTGAGGCACCAAGCAGGATAAACCAAACCAAAGGACATAGTTGCCTCCTGGGCTGAGAAGAGGGAACCCATGACACTGCTATCACAGCCCTGCACCATACCACCGAGGCTGGAGAAATCCTCCCTTCTCCCAGACAAGCCATCTTCACTGCAGCTTTGCACTGTTGGCACCCAGACTCACACCAACTGCCCCATTTTTTATCCATTTAATCTTACGCATCTGAAGTGTTGTTTGCCATCCTATTTCATACTGCTGCATATGCGCAGTGGGGTTGAGAAGGTAAACTACAAAACAGAGCAGCAGGCTCAGGAGAGTAGGAGAAACAACAGAGAACCAAGCCTCAAAAGGGTGCTGCTCCTGTTTGGACATAGCCCCCATTGCCTTCCACTGAAAATGGTGATTTCTTTAAGCACCCCGAGCCTTGCCCTGTAGGATGCTGGACACTTCTCTTGTTTTGTTTGGAGAGTATTCAGCATATTCTGGACACCACAGTTTTGTGCCTTCCCTAAATCAGTCCAGCTAGCAGTCCCTGCAGTATACTATAAAAAAATTATCTAAAAAATACATGAAGGAAAGGAAGCACTTAAAAGTGCTATGAAACATTTGGTCATGAAAAACAGGCTTAGAAAGATAGGCGTGCATAGACCTCTTGGGTCATCAAGTCTACTTCCCTGCTATCTTAGCCAAACACATCATATAATCCCTTTCAGAAACTCATTATACTCCGTCTTAAAAGTAGCTTGGGGTTTTTTGTTGTTGTTGTTTCCACTGTTCGCACTGGAAAGCAATTCCAGAACATCGCTATTCTGTTGTTTGGAAACCTGCTTCCAATTTCCATCCTAAATTTATTCATGACCAATTTATACTCATTTGTTCTTGTGCCAATGTTGTCCTTTAGTTTAAATAGATGTTTTCTCTTCCTGGAGCTTATGCCCATGCGGTATTTGTAACAGCCTCCCTCAGCCTTCATTTTGCCAAACTCCTCTCACACTTAAGGCTCTCCCTTCCCATGGTCACTCTAATCGTCTTTTTCAGTAGCTTCCCAAAAGTGAAGTGAATCATTTGTGAATAGCGTGCACTATCCTGGCTGATTTCTAACATGTGCCTCATACACCGTTACCGGCATTTCATTACCCTGGTGAAAATACCTTGCTTTGTATGTTCTGTGTCTTTCCCCTCCTTATTCATTTCTCACCTGTGAGCATGCAGGTATAGCAGAAACCTGGTTAACAAGACGCAGATGCATGAACTTGCACTCAAATCCTTCTGAATTTCATCCAATTTATCCTATCCTGGTCCTCAAGGTCACTCAGTTCTTCCTAAATGAGAGTTTTATTTGTCTCTGCAGTGACAGTACCTCCCTCCCTTATGCCATTGGTAAATTCCATTAGCACACGCTTATTTTTTATGGGATCATCATTAATAAAAAATGTTAAATAATATCAGGCCCAAGACTGATGCTTGGGAAGCTCTACTACCTTCCCTCAGTACTGATCCTCTCCTTCTACTACTCACTTTCTTATTCACTTTTCAATTTCTGTACTAATCTCCCATTTTAGCTAATAATTTCCCACATGGCACTGTACCAAATGCTGCACTTAAGTTTTGATAATTAGCTGTAAGCACTTCCTTTGTCTAGAAAAATCAATTATGATGATATTTCAGGCACCGGAACTTGTAGAAGTACCTGAGAAGTGGAGGTAAAGGAGACAAAATGAAATTACCTTAAGTTTTTCTAACACCTGCAAAGATTTGGGCTGATTTTCATTTTCAGATGAGCTGCTTCATTCATCCCTAGCGATGACATTTTCATACATTGTTGAATTTTATAACAATTCTGAATATTATAACACTAATGCAAGAGCATCATTAAAATTCTCGGATATCGTTATTTGACTGAAAATAAGAATGACCTTCAGGACCTTTATGAAATTAATGCTACTGCAGAACTGCTATAGGGAGGCCTTGTATAAAGGGCTATAAAGCAAGATAAAAAGTAAAATACCTGTATTGGTAGCTTTGCTGATACAGCAGTATTATTGTAAATGCCATCCCTGCAGATGTACTGAAAAAGCAGCTTCAAAATCAACAGCTATTGCAATGGTTTTGAAAAAAATTTTAACTGGCAAAATGCCACATTAAAACACAGCTAATTTTAAATATGATTTTCATTATTTCGTGTCACTTTCATTTTCAGGGTAATCTAACAAAATATTCAGAACAACTGTGTAGAATAGTATCTGCAGACAGAGGCTTGCTATTCACATAAGAAAGTAATGCTGAGATTCAGTAAAGTATTGGTTATTCTACAGAGTAGCTGCAGAGTCACCATTATCATGTTTCCCTTTTGAGCTGAAATAAAAGAGGTTGGAAAAAGCAGGCTACAACTAGCAAACGTGTAGTAAGCTGTAAGGTTATAAGCATCAATACAGAAGGAGAATCCAAAGAAATTTTGGCTTAAAGTTCACAGATTAGCATATATTTCTACAGCCTCTGTGTTAGTCATGATATTCTATGTATGTTGCTTGGGAAAAAAAAGGAA